GCCCGCGCCCGCCTTCGACTCGTCTGAGGGGCGCGGGGGGAGGGGGGGGGGGGGGCGGGGCGGCGGTGGCGGGCGGCGGCTGCGGGGGGGGCGGCGCGAGACTTCGCGTGGTCTTCCACTTCGCCATCGTCGTCTCGAATGCTCTGCGGGATTGGAATGCGGCGCGCAGCGCGAGTGACGGGCGGCGCGCGAGCGGGGGGGGGGCAGCGCGGGGAAAATCCGCCGACCCCTCGGGGTCGCGGCCCCCGAGCTCCATCCCCGGCAGCCCGGCCCGGCTGGTTTGGAAAGGGGGGGGGGGGGGGTGCGGCCGCGCCCCGAGGGCCCCGGGCGGCCCTGAAACGGGCCGAGAGGGCCCCCAAAGGCCACCCGGGCGGTCCAAACGGGCCACGAGTCGCCGAAAGATCGCTCCAAGACGCCCGAGATTTCCTCTAGACGGTCCCAGATGCTCGCCAGAAGCCCCGAGAAGCCGCCGAGAGGCGTCCCCGAAGACCCTCCAGATGCACGAATCGCTCCGCTCCCAAAAGAAAACATTTGATTTTTGTACTTTCGCCTCTCGGGCTTCCACGAGGCCCACAACGGCCCGAACAGCCCTTGATATCAATCCAAGATAACCCATGGGGCACCCGAGAAGGCTCCATGACAACCCGAGAGGGCCCGAGACGACCCCAGACGCCAGGAGGGCCCCAGGGCGGCCCCAAAAGGAGGCCCAGAGGGGAAACCCGAATTGACATTTCGAGCGCTCGGCCCCAGAAGGAACTCGAGGATGCGCCGATTGGCCCCCGAGAGGCTCCCGCGGGCCCCCGAGAGGCCCAAGAGAGGCTCCTGGTGGCTTCAGATCGGCCCCCAAGAGGCCTCAGCAATGCTGCCAGGAGAGCCCAGAGAAACCGAAAAGCACAGCCGCGATCCGCCAACCGCCCCCGACGAAATACCATGAAGCTGAAACCCCAAGATGCCCCGGAAATCGTTCCGCAAACTCTGCTTACACTATCGCTGCCGCCCCGAGGGGTCGGCGGCGCGGCGTCGGCCAATAAATCCACTGCGTGCTGAGCGGCAGCGTTTTCCGCGGATGCTGTAATGCAGTGGATCCAACGTGTCCAATGTTTGCATGATTCCCACATGCTGTATTGTGCTACATGTTTATGCCCCCCCAACCCCCCCCTGCAGTCGCGCCACGTGAACGGGCCAGGATGCCCCCCCCCTTTCCGGGGCCATGAAAGCCGACAAAAAACCTATGACAAATCAACAAATTCGACCTCTTGGGCCTCTTGGGGCTCCAAGAGGGCCTCAATATGGCCCAAGATGACCCCGGGACGGCCCAAAACAGCCCCATGGCGGCCCAAGATATTCCCAACGGGGGCCCACGAGGCCCCCAAGACGGCGTCTTGAAGCTCCCGGGGCGGCCCAAGAAAGAGGGCCCCAAGAGCGCCCGCAAATGCGCCTCCAGAGGCCGAAATTATTGATTTTCCGATGGTTTCTGTAATATTTTAGCGTTCTCGTCTTTTTCGACTTTCATAAATCCATGGCGGCCCAAGCAGCTTCCATAATCGCCCCATAACAAACCAAAAAGCTCCCAAGAGGGCTCCAAGACGTCCCAGGAGGACCCCAAAACGGCCCAATAAGGCCCCCAAGACGGTCCAAGAGGCCGCGAAGACGGCCCTAGAGGACACCAAGAGGGCTCCAGTGCGGCCGCGAGAGGCCCCCAGGACAGCCTCCGAGAGGGCGAAACGGCGCAAAAGCGCCAAGACGGCCGAAGACGCCCCGAAGACGCCCCAAGAGGCCTCCAAGAAGCCTCCAAGAAGCCCTCCAGAAGCCTCCAAAAGGCCCCCCCAAATACCCCCCAAAGGCCACGCAGCGACTGGAATGTAATGTTATTTCCCCCCCTCTGGGCGAACTGCGGCGCAGCGCTGGCCAGGTGAAGTTGGCCACTGCGGCGCCCATGATTAGAGCCGGCGCTGGCAAGGAAGATGGGGGGGGGGCGCATGAAAAGGAGGGGGGAAAAGGCCTCAAAGAAGCTCCCAGGAGGCCTCCAGGAGGCCCCCAAGAGGCTCCCAAGAGGCCCCGCGACGACGTGACTGCACGTGCTCCGGACGCGAAGCGAAAGGAATCGCAAATAATCGGGCAACAGGGGGGGGGGGGGGGGGGCGGGGCGGCTATCATGGCGAAGATAGCGGGAAAGGAAAGGGACGTGGTGGAAGGGGGTGCGTCGATGGTTTCGCGAACGCATGCAGGGCGACCGCGCGCGGGCGGTTCGACGTTCCACATTGGAATTTCAAACCGCGCGCGGTTGCCTGCGCTTCGCACGGCGCGCGCGGGGCTCGGCAAAGGGCGCGCCCGCCTCTCGCGCCCAGGGATCTGCGAACCGATCTGCGCGAAGGGTGCAACGGCGCCGGCGCGACGCAATGTGCGCGGCGACGACGGCGGCGCATCAGTCACGCGTCTGTCGGCGTGCGAGCGCGCCGCTTTCCAGACTGGCCAGGCGCGCGGCATGCGCGAGCGATTTGAGAGTTCACAATGGCGTTTCAAACCACTCGCGGTTGCCCTGCGCGCTCCGCCGCGCGCGTGTCGCTCGGCAGTGACTCGCCTCTCGCTCCCCGGGCGCCGCGCACCGATCTGCGCGAGCGATGCGACGACGCCGACGCGCCTCGAAGTCCGCGGCGGCGACGGCGACGCATCGGTCGGCGAGTGAATGCGCCGCTTTCCAGACCGACCAGATGCAGGGCAGCCCCGTGCGGATTGAAATTCTACATTGGACTTTCGACCCGCGCATGGTTGCCCTTTGCCCTGCGCGATCCGCTGCGCGCATGTCGCGCGGGAAGGATTCGCCGGCCTCTCCCTCCTCGGGGATTGCAAATCAATCTGCGCGAACGATGCGACGACGCCGTCGCGACTCAAAGTGCGTGGCGGCGACGGCGATGCACTGGTCGGCGAGTGACCTCGCTACTTTCCAGGCCGACCAAATGCAGGGCAACCCCGTGCGGCTTGAGATTCCACAGTGGAATCTCGAACCGCTTATGGTCGCCATTTGCCCTGCGCGCTCCGCTGCGCGCGCGTAGCGCGGGAGTGCTTCGCCGGCCTCTCATTCCTCGGGCGCTGCGAACCCATCTGCGCGAACGATGCGACGACGCCAACGCGCCTCAAACTGAGCAGCGGAGATGGCGAAACATCGGTCGGCGAGTGAATGCGCTGCTTTCCAGACCGGCCAAGTGCGGGGCAACCCCGTGCGGTTTGAAATTCCACAGTGGTCGCCCTTTGCCCTGCACGCTCCGCTGCGCACGTGTCGCGCGGGAAGGATTCGCCGGCCTACTACCCCTCGGGGATTGCAAATCAATCTGCCCGAACGATGCGACGACGCCGTCGCGACTCAGAGTGCGCGGCGGCGACGGCGATGGACCGGTCAGCTGGTCGGCGAATGAACGCGTCACTCTCCAGACCGACCACGCAAGGCAACCGTGAGAAATTATATATTCCACCGGGGAACTTCAAACCGTTCATGGTTGCCCTGCACATCGCGCTGCGCCCATGTCACTTTGCAGTGATTCGCCCGCCTCCCCAACTTTCTGATTGACCTCATGGAAACTGGGTCAACTTACTTTTGGTAGCCAAGGCGCCCACCCTAACATTGTGACATGACGAATACGAATACCTCTGCGGTCGGAGTTCCCATCCCTTCCCCCCCCTGTGTTTTGTAATCCTAATGCTCTTTTCGGCTTGCCCAACATTGACGTTGCTTCCCTAAATAAAAAAACAACTACATAAACGTACATGGTTGGAGATCCGCGCGGATTTTTTGGATCGGCGCCGAATTCTTCAACCCTGGCGCACTGCGCGCGCCAAGGGAGGTGCCGGTGGCGCTGCCACGGAGTTCCGCCGCAGATCCGAGAAATCTGCGCGGAGCTTTGAATCTTGATGTTTATGCAGTTTCCCTTCCTCGATCTGGGTTCTAAATGTAAGACCCTGGCTCGAAGTGGGCCAAGGTTCTCTCAGAAAGGCCCGGCGTCCTCTAGGGCGTCCCGCGCGGGGCGCAGAGGGCCACATTGAAGGGGGTCAGGAGGACACAAACAAATCTTAACACATTCCAGCATTTCCAATACCTTAACCAATTTCCACATTCACAAGATGTTCCTTTTCCCCTCCACTTCCCAGATTTCCTCTGTAAACGAAGTCAGCGCTTGTTTGTGTTGGTGTTGGTCCATCCTTTCAGACAAAAGGGCTCCGAAATTTCGCGGCAAGCTGGGAACACTGCCGGCCAGGACCACCTCTTGCAAAATCCGATTCCCCCATGAGAGGGGCGAAACGTAGCATGAACATAAACGTGCGGAGGTTCGCTCAGATTGCTTGGAGCTGCGCCGAACCCCCCTCCCTGGCGCGCGGAGCGAGCCAGGGGCGGCGCCGCCAGGGGAACCCTGGCGCCGATCCAAGACATCAGAGGGGAACTCTGGGCAGTCACGTACGTTCATGCAGTTTTTCTTTTTCGAACCTCGAACCAAGACCACCTCTTGCAACCCCTGATCCCTCCATTAGAGGCCTCCTAGATGGGGTCCGAGTAGATTTGGTCGAAGCATCGCCGACGCATCGGCGAGGTCGGCGGTGCATCGGCGACGTCCGCGTGGAGAAGATCGGGCTCCACATCGAGCCGCATCGCCGATGTATCGGTCTTGCGGCGCGATCCTCCGACCCCATCTGCTCGACCCCCACCTGGGAGGCCTAGACTCTTACAACCTCCATGGGGGAAGCGGGCCCTGAGGAACACGGGTTCTGGACCCTGGGGCCGTCTCCCAGGACGAGCTCGTCATCCTGAGTCGTCCTCTGACAGGTCCCGGGGCCCGTGGAGGACCCCAGGAAGCCAAAAAAGGAGAAAAACCTCAAGGCCCGTTTCCCTCGGGACCCGCTTCCCTTTTTAGAAGAGACGAAACAGCGCCATAAACATAAATTCTTGGCGCTCCGCGCGGATTTCTTGGATCTGCGCCGGATCCCCCCCCTGGCGCGCGGGGCGCGCCAGGGGCGGCGCCAGGGGGGCCCTCCAGTGCAGATCCAAGGAATCCGCGCGGAGCGCCATAAATTTGTGTTCATGGCGTTCTTTCTTTGTCGACCTGTGGCAGGCTCCTGCAACATCCGACCCCTCCATTCGAGGTGTTGCTGGACGTGCCCCTGGCCAAGGGTGCCCCCAGTTTTTTTCGTTGACTCTTGGAGCCCCCGGGGCCCTCCGGACGTCGTGCAGGGTGCTCTGGAGGCCGTGGGGGGGCACCTTGGGCCAAGGGGCACTTCTCTGAAGGGGCCCTGGGACACACAAATAAATACACACAAATAAAAATATGCCCCATATTTTCATATATCTATATTTTCTGGGTTTTTGTCTTCCCGCCCCATTTCCCATATTTTCCCATATTTTCTTAGGGAATCGACGATTAATTGTGTCTGTGTGCTTCTTTTCCTCCTGATCCTTGGAAATCCTGGTGGCACCTTGGGCCAGGGGCACTTCTCGCAGCACCCGATCCGTGCACTGCTCACTGCCGCCGCCGCCGGCGCCCGCCGGGCCTGTAGATCGCGGATCCGGGCGACGGCTGCGGCCTCCCTCCGGGCCGGGCGAGAGGAGGGGATAGCAAAGGGGGGGTCTGAGAGTCAGCTCGCGTAGCTGATTTTCCCGGCGCCTCGCGGCGCCGGGAGGCGCCCATGTGGCGAGGAGTGGGCCCCTCGGTGGGGCCGAAACTGGCTGCACGCAGCAGACTTCGTAACCCCCCCTTTCCCTGACCTTGCAGAGCGCTAAAAAATAGCACTTTAGACCTATCTTGATCTAGCTGGATCGCCTCAAACCCCGACAGGAACTAGGACGTCGACGTCCAGCGCTATTTTTAGCCCTCCTGGAAGGTCAGGGTTCCATATCCTCCCCCCACCTCGTCCGGCCCGAGCCTCCCGGGGGCCTCCAGCCCTGCCGGCGCCCCCCCCGTGGCGCCGAGCGGGTGGCCGGGGTGGGCCCGGCGGTGGGGGGCCTGCGCGGGCGGAGGGCCCCGGCGGGTCCATTCGCCACCATCACTTGCGCCGTCGCGCGGACGCCCATCTTCGCCGTGCGCTGTTCGATGCCGTGCGTGCTTTTTTTTCCGCTCGATGGTCCAGGATGCTCCTCGGTCCTCGCCGATGAAAATGAAGGGGCCGATGAAAATGAAGGGGTGGCCGTCGCGCGGACGTCCGTCTTCGCCGTGCACTGTTCGATGCCGTGCGTGCTTTTTTTCTCGCTCGCCGTCGATGTCGTGCGTGTCGTGCACTTTTTCGATGTCGCTCCATCCTGGGCCCCCTGGGGCCCTCCCTGGCCTCGTGAGGGGCGCCCTGGAACGCCTGGGGGCATTTTGCGGAAAATATCCGATGCGACAAACATCAATTCTGGCCGTCGCGCGGACGTCCATCTTCGCCGTGCGTTGTTCGATGCCGTACGTGCTTTTTTTCGCTCGATGGTCCAGGATGCTCCTCGGTCCTCGCCGATGAAAATGAAGGGTCCCTGGGACACACGAACAAATACACACAAATAAAACATTTCCCCCATGTTTTCCTAGAATGTTCTGGGTCTCCGTGTCCCCCCCCGCTTCCCAGATTTTCCCATCTTCTCCTGGGGATCGACGACTCGTTGTGCCTGTGTGCTTTTTCCCCTCCCGAGAAAGCAGGCACATGTCCGAGCGACGCCAAGATCATTACCAGCCTGGAACATATCCCTATCCCTATGCTGGGCACCTCCTCATCACGATGCCAATCTTAGGGATTCCCTTATTTTTTGAGGGCGAATCCCTAAGATTATCATCGCCTTTTGGCGTGTCAATCTTAGGGATAGGGATACGTTCGAGGCTGGTAAACACGTCCGAGCGACGCCAAGATCAGGGTGGGCGCCTGGCATACAGCCGGGCCCCGGCCAGCAGAGAGCAGCCCTGGAGCGCACGAGGGCCCCTCCCCGTCGGCCAGAGCGCGCACGGGGCCTGCCGAGGGTGCCACTCCCCCGGGGGTGCACGGGAGCCGCCCGCAGAGGCACGGGAGAGCCCGGGGGTGTACCTGAAGGGGCCCTGGGACACACAAATAAATACACACACACATAACAAATAAAAGGATTCCCCATATCTTCCCATATTTTCTGGATTTTTGTCTTCCCCCCCACTTCCCATATTTTCCGCTATCTTCCTGGGGATCGACGATTCATTGTGTCTGTGTGTTTCTTCCCCTCCTGAGTACCCTCCCCGCGAACCGACCGCGATCCCACGCCTCGGTCCGACGGCAGAGGATGCAAGCGCGGCACGCAGACAGAAGCCTTCGGAGCTCCGCGCGGATTCCCTGGATCTGTGCCGGGCGCCCCGCGCCAGGGGCGGTGCCGACCATCGAGCAGTTGCGCTTATGCCGTCTTCTGTTCGTCGAGATGCATCCGTCGCCGTCAGGGTGGGCGCCCGACACGCTCAGTGCGCGCGTGCTTTTGCTGCGAGGTTGGAGGCGGCCGGGGGTCTGCTCTGGAGGGGCAGCAGCAAGGCCAGTCGGGAGGGGGAAGGCGGCAGATGCGGCACTCGATGCCCATCTGGAGAAGGCGGCCCGGCGGGGACAGAGAACGAGACCTCTGTGCAGTGGTGCCCCTCCTCCTGTCTAACTGAGGGGCAACGGAGGGGGGGGGCCGGCCCAGGGAGGGATACCTCGACCTGGCATCGGCGACACATCGCCGACACATCGGTAAACGGCCCCCGACAGCAAATCCGCTCGTCCCTGGGCAGGTCAGGGTACCCATCGACGATCAGTGGGCGATTGGGGGTCGATACATCCCCCCATCTGCCTGTTCCCCCCTTATCAGTGGAGGCTAGTCCTCAAGAAACCTTCCACAAGAAGCCCAACCTTGAGACCCCAGGACGTTCATTGGTTTTTGGTGCGGGAGCGTCACGCTGTCCGTCGGAAGACCATCAAAATCCAAGAAACCCAGGGCACCCTGGAGGCAAGCAGGGCGTTTCTTGGCATGGGCCCCCACTGCATCGCTGCTTCCGACGAGCGGCTGGAACCAATGCTGCCCCACCGCAGGCCCCCACGCCGGCCCCAGCTGTGAGGTTCGCTGCGCGTCTGAAATGCGGCGCAGCCGTCCTCCGTCGATGGGCTGGCAGCGGATCCGTCCCTCGGGATGCGGCGCCGCCGCAGCCGACTACCTACCTGGGCTCCTGTTATTGGAGCCGCGAAGCCGCCGCGGCGCGCGGCCGCGCCGAAGGCGGGCGAGACCGCCTGGCCAGCTCCCAGACCTCGAGTGCCAACACACGTCTGCTCGTGTCGGGGGGGGGGGCGTGCTCTGCCTCCACGGGCACGTCTGGGGCGGGCAGAGTCCCAGAGAGACGACAAACACACGCCACGGGCCAATGCATAGAGCTCACGACGAAACACTTCCTCCTCCTCCTTCTCCTCCTCCTCCTCCTTCCTTATCACCACCACCACCACCATCATCATCATCATAATCACCATCATCACCATCACCATCATGATCATAATCATCATCATCACAATCACCATCATCATCACCATCATCATCAGCAGCATCATTATCATCGGCAGCATCATCATCATAACCATCGTCACTACCATCATCATCATCACCATCATCATCATCATCATCATCACCATCACAATCAGCATCATGAGCATCATCAACATCATCATCAGCATCATCAGCATCATTATCATCAGCATCATCAGCATCAACATCAGTATCAGCATCATCACCATCACCATCGTCATCACAATCATCAACATCATCATGATGATCGGCATCATCATCATGATCATCATCAACCAAATCTTCCTCACATCATCACCCTCACCATCATGATCATCACCATCGTGATCAGCATCAACATCATCATCATCAGCATCAACATCATCATCATCGTTATCATCATCACCATCACCATCACCATCATCACCATCACCAACATCAACACCATCAACACCATCAACATCATCAACACCATCGACATCAACATGAACATCATCACCATCACGTCCCGCCATCGAGCTCTGAATGTCAAACAATCGAACTTTTCTCGGGGAGGCGTATTCTCCTTCCGCTAACTTCCGCGGACCTTCCGCCATCGCAGCCGCCCCCGCTGTGTTGCTTTCGCCAGCATCCGATCCCTCGAGGTCGAGGCCCTTCCTAGAGCACCTCATACCTGCTGAGGGCGGATGGCACTGCATTCGCGAGCCCCGCCCTCTCCCTTCGGCGCTCTGTTGGTCGAATCTTCGCATCGGGCGTTGCTTAATCGGAGGGGCGATGAATGAGGGGGGGGGGGACTTTCGTGCCCCTGTTGGGCCCCAGGGGGCCCCTTTCAGGGTACAAAAAAGGGGTACCCATCCGTCGGAAGTAGGTAGACACATGAAGTAGGAAGGCGTTGAAAATCGATTGGATTCCGTCCACCCCCCAAGGAGGTCGGAAAAGGTGAAGCCACTCGATCATTGAAGTAGGAAGGCGCTTGAAGTATATTGAAATTTGGGAATCCAAACGAAAGTACCTACTTTCAACGACCGATGGGTACCTGTCGTCAAGCCCCCATTTATCGCCCCCCCCCTCAACTACGCAACGCCCAAGAGCATGCTGCCTCACGGGCCCCAGCAAGCGGGGCTTGAATGAACAGGAGAAGGCTGGGACGAGCGAGGAGAGGGGAGGCTAACCCTGAGCTGGAGGGTGCCAAAGGGGGATTTTGGGGACCAGGAGGGGTCCCCCAAGGGCTTCGCGCCCACTGTTTTGACGAGGTTCCGAGGCCCCTGGGGGGCTCTCTGGAAAACCCCCTCCCCAAAAACCCCTCTTGGAATCCTCCGGCTGAGATCCGACGCTGCGAACCGAAATGGAAAACAGCGAAAAATCACGACAAGAGCCCCGGACCCCACCTTGCTGTGGCTTTGTTCGAGCCAGATTGGGCCCGAAACCGAGCAAAAACGCCAGTGCGAAAAAGAATGCAGTGCCCAGACCTCTGGGAAGGAGGCGGAGGAGGAGGAGCAGGAGGACGGGCCACTTGCCCCGCACGCTGTGGAATCTTCCCGAGGCGGCACAGAGCAGACCGGCTACACACAAGAGCGACCCTAGGCAAGAGTGACCTTTGGCGTGCGGCTTGAGGTGGCACGAGAAGGCCAACACCAAGTGCGCAAGCCACTGAGATCGCATCTCGCTCAGCGATTGAGAAGTCCCCGTGGGCCCGCACCAAAGGTCACCCCAGCGAAGGGTCACTCTCACGTGTAGGCGAGCAGAATCCTCGAACGGTAATCAACCGGCTGGGTCTGAAAAGACGGAGGGAGTCTGCGACTACGACGACGGTGACGGTGGTGGTGGTGGGAGTGGTGGTGATAGTGATGGTGATGATGACGATGACGATGACGATTGCGATGACGGTAATGATGATGATGATGATGATGATGATGATGATGATGATGATGAGGTTGACGACGATGATGACAATGGTCATGATGATGACGATGTTGATGCTCATGATGGTGCTGATGATGATGATGCCAATAGTCTTGATGGTGATGGTGATGGTCATGATGATGATGATGATGCTGATGATGATGATGATGATGAAAGGTGGCGATGATGCTGCTGTTGGTGATGGTGGTGATGATGATGCTGATGATGCTGGATACCTCCAACTCTTGGGGACTCCCTGGGACCAAGGACGGCCATGGCCAATTTCCGTGGGCAACTCACCGAAGATGAACGACACAAAAACATAATCGCTCTGACACTACGGCAGTACAGGCATCCTCCCAGACCCTAACGTGCGGACGACTGCATGATTCATTTTAATAAGATGATTCCCTTTTGAGAACCGAGAAATTTGAAAACCTGTAACGCACAACAATGACATCGCGCAACAGTGGCATACGGAGATGCGCGTCAGCGCGCTTTGCATTCGTTGTCCACAGCCATGCAGGCTGCAACGCACAAAAACGGCAGCGCATATGGTAGAACCGTAGCTCTGAACAGAGGGGCAATGAAGAGAGAGAGAGAGAGAGAACATTCCGTCCCCCCCCCCTTTGCTCATTCCGACCGACCGCCCGTGTTTCCCTCCACCCCTGCCCGACCGTTGCCCCCCGCGCCTTCCCCGTTTCCCCCCGTGTCCCCCCTCTACTTGTTCCGACCGACCGATCGTGCCCCGCCTCTCCTTGCCCGACCGTGGCCCTCCGTGCCCCCTTCCTCTCTGCTCATTCCGACCGACCGACCTGGGCGCCAAATTACACCACGGTCCCGACGAGCTCACAATGACTTAACAAGTTATTCACACCAAGACCCCCAAGAGAGAACAACATTTCAAACACCTATCAAGCATCTATGAATTTTGTGTCTTGGGGCCCTCTCGGAAGGTTTCTTGAGAGCCTGTTGGGCCGTCTCGGGGGCATTTTGGGCCTTCTGGAGGCCATCCTGGGCGTATTGGACCGATCGTTCGACGACGCGGGTTCCTCGTCCACCGTCTTGGGAGTCTTTGAGGGCCCTCTTGGCCCTTCTTCGGGCCTTCGTGGCGTCCCAAAAACCCGCGCGGCACACCCCGGACCCCGCAAGAGCGCGCAAGAGCGCCTGGGGAACCAAGGGTCTGGGCCCTTGAGAACCTTATAACCCACCTGCCTCCCAGGGCTGCACGGGCCCCAAGGGTCTGGGCCCTTGAGAACCTTATAACCCACCTGCCTCCCAAGGCTGCATGGGCCCTGGGGTACTCCACAATGTTCTGAAGAAGCTGTGGCGGATCTTGGCTACGCATGCCATCGCGCCCCCCCTCTTGGGACCAAGAGTCTCGCTCCATACATAGGGGCCTGCACTATAAAACACGACGCTGAAGCCTCGCAAACATCTCCCGTCATGTTAAGATCGCCTGCGGATCGAACCTGGCGCTGCGTCCACACCGCTACGCTGCGATTCGCCATTCCCCCGTTATTGTCACTCGCCAGCGTGTCGCAGCACTCGCGCGTTGCCCCGAAACTACCACAAGTTGGCGCCATCTCCATGTCCGAGTGTCCCGCATCCGAGATTGTATGATCCTTGGCACGCGTGCGTCTTGTATATATGGACAACGTGGGGAATCTACGTATCATCGCAACGATCCCAAGCCGTATTTTCATGCACTCTCCATGTGTGGGCTACACTGTGTAATCCACCCCCCTCTCCCCATGGTAACCTAATCCATCAGGTGCAGTACATGTGGGACAAGCAATGTCGTGCAAACTACGTGGTGCACCCCCCGAAGTGCAACACGCAAAGGCACACAACCACACACACGAACGCACACACATATGTACGTATATAAAACTATGGGGCAAAGTACGTGGCGCAAGCAATGTGGTGCAAACTATGTGGTGCCACGTATGTGGGACCATCTCTACGATGAGAACTACTTGTCGCGATCTGGTGCAAGCTGTCTGCCCAAAAAGTGTGTGAACCTTCAGTGGTGAAGTCTGTATGGTACTCCCATGTCAATACAACGTTTAAATATACGCATACATAAATATGGATACGTGTATATATACATGCATACCTGCATATATGGTAAACACACAGATCCCGCACGATGTGAATGACGCCATATGCGAACCCTCGTCCACCACCCCACGAGTTCTGACGGGGAAGTGGGGTAGGGATCGCATGTGGCCACCGAATGTGGTGCAGCGTATGTGGTGCAGTCCACTTTGCCAACTTTGAAATCGCGAAATCAGATGCCTACGTAATCATCACACCCTCCCACCCACAACTGGTTTTGCACAACCAATGCAGCCGCGATTGTGGTGACTGTTCGGCCCACGAACTCGAACGTAGTGGCCAGCTTGTTTGGCTGAGCCGATGCGGCCGTCATGGCGCTTACAGTTGGGACTTTCCCAGCGCGCCTCAAAGCCGCGCTGGCGCGCGCGTGCTTCAGTGCGGGTCGGTGGCTCGGGCGGGCGCGGCATCATGATCACATCGACAACGGCGGCAACGGTGATGGTGGTAGCGATGGTGGTGGCGATTATGCCGATTACGACGGCAAAGCCACTGAAGGCGCCGATGCTGATGACGACGATGACGATGATGATATCCATGTGTCAGTGATGAAACGGATTGACTGATAGTGGCAGTAATGGCAGCTGTTGGCGGTAACGATAACAGCGGTGATGTGGCAACGTGCGTGCGCGCGGAAATGCCGGTAACGTGGCGGACCTTTCGCTGAAGGCAATGTTTCACACAAGCGTTTGAAACAACTATACCTGAACACGCTTCGAACACCAGTGGAGTTCAGCGAATTTTGATACGCGCGCGTGGCGGCGCGCGCTCTGGTGGCCCGCGTGGTATTCATTGATATGGACCAACGCGGGCGCACCGCGCGGTGAAATGATAATGCGGATTTTGGGCAGCATTGATCAACTCACATGGTTTTCTACAACATTTGCACGGTGCAGATGTTGATATGTTTCCGGGCGAGGCGCTTGCGACACTTCTGTGCTTGGTATGAATTCGACGTGTGCGCGCACGTGGACTCAGTGCAATGTTTTGGCGGGAGCTCTTGAAACATGACTTTTTGAGGTACATGGCTGCGCGCGCTCGGTCTTGTAGCATTTGGCAGGGATGGGGGCGTTGATGACGCCCTGGCTGGGATGGTGCGGTCTCATCTCAGTGTCGAAAGATGACACACAGTCGTGCGTGAGTGGCAAAACGACAAGGTGCACCGTTGAACTGGGGGGGAGAAGGGGGGACAGGTGGTGGAGTCAATCCTTCTCCCGAGACAGAAATTAGAAACGTCACTGGCGGGCTCTCGGCCCCGCTGCTCGCGCAAACGTCCCGCCCGCCCACCCGTGACTCCTGGCATCGCTCGGACGTCCATTCCCTGTGCTTTTTTCGGTTTAGTGCGTGGTTTTTGTCGCCAAATGATCAAGGATGCTCCTCGATCGCCCTCGCCGAAAAGAAGGACAAGTCCGAGCGATGCCAGGGACTGGTCTTGCAAGATCCATGCGGCCGCGGATTGCAGTGACTGCCTGGCGCCAGCCTGCGCCTCTCTAGGCGCCCACGGGTGGCAACGTGGCGAGTCTTAGGCGCACCCATCAAACTGCTGTAAAGCTTAGCAAGAAACCCTAAGTGCAACCACTCCCTGGGGGAAGACACTATACTATGTCCGCTGGCTCCCTTGGGAGGCCATCAGGTTCCGTGGCGGAGGCATCTTGCTTCCTGCGCCAGCACCGGGTCCCAGCTGCCAGTATCATGGTGCTGCTGCCTGCCTCCTGCTGGTCAAAGCAGCTGCCCGCGCGACGGGGAGGGGGCCGAACACCAACCTGTCAACATTCCGCCCCCCCCCTATTGGACGCCCGAGTTATCCGGGGTAACTCGGGTCCGGGGTAACTCGGGTTTGGGTTCCCGAAAAACGAACCCGAGTTAGCCCTGACCCGAGATACCCCTGATGATTTTGGGGCTCTGGACGCCCGAAATATCCGGGGTAACTCGGGTCCGGGGTAACTCGGGTTCGGAATCCCGAAAAAGGAACCCGAGTTATCCCTGACCCGAGTTACCCCTGATGATTCGGGGCTCTGACCCTATGGCCCCTCCAGGGGTAGCCCACTGGGGCGCCTGCACACACGCGCGTGACTCGCCCCCGCGAGGCCAGCCGCCCGGGCAAGTCCCGCGCAAGCCGCGCGCCCCGTGGGCCAGAATCCCTTCCCACCTGCGCCAGGCGCGCGCTCCCGAGGCCAGGGGCCTCTCTCTCTTAGGTTGCGCCAGACTCGCGCTCCGAGACGAGCGCGCTCCACGACTTGCGAGAGGTAGCTGCTCGCGAGTGGCCTGGCTCCGCCGCGGGGGATCTAACGATACAATTAGATCGGGGCAAACAGCTGTTCTTGTCGGACGTTTGCGAGTGGGCACTTTGCAAGCAGTGGAACGCGCCCGGTGAGCTCCCGACGCCGAGACCAGAATGCAGCGGACACTGCGCCAGACTCGCGCCCCCGAGGCCGGCACCCCTCGCGATCTGCACGTGCGGCTCGCGCTCCTGGAGCCCGACTTTCTTCCCAACCTGCGCCAGGCCCGCGCTCCCAAGGCCAAGGCAGCCCTTGCACACTGCCCCCAAGTCCGCGATCCGCGATCCCGAGGCCAGGAATCCTTTTTGTCCCCACTCAGTGCTTGCACTGAAGGGGTCCTAGCTGAAGCTGAAAGATTCGGCGAAAGCTTCCCGCCGATTTTGGTAGCAGGCTGGGTTCCCAAGTTCCCGGCTCCGGGTTCTCGGGTTCCCGGTTATTGGTTCCGGGCCGATTTCGGTGGGTTCTGGCTTCCTGGGCTCCCGGGTTCCCGGTCGACCTCCTCAACGGAAACCATCCACTGATTGGGGTCTTTCTCTGGTGTATTTGTACACTGCGCCAGGCCCGCACTCCTGGGTAAGCCCGCTCGCCTAAACGTCATCTAAAAAGCAGAGACAAGATCAACAAACATGATAACTGCCGTGCAATTGTGCCTCTTCGCTGGGGTCCTGAATCTTCTCGCCACCTGCGCCGTCGTGCCTGCACATCTGTCTGCCTTTGGTGCCACCTGGGAAGGTTTCTGGCCCTGCAAATCTCACGCGCGGTTCGCGCTCCCGAGGCCAGATTCTCCAGCAACAGCAGCGCCAGATTTGCGCGGGGAACGCTCCCAAAGTGGATAGGGTTTGATCCTACCAGCCCTCTGAGCGACAGGTGGTCTAACGAGGGTCTCTTTCTTCCTCCGCAACCCCTCTTCCCTTCGGGGAGGGGAGCCCTCCCCCTCCCCTCCCCGAGGGTTTTTTTTGGAGGTTCCACGGTGTGTCGGAGGCTCTTTCGGCCATTGGGAAGGCCGCCTTTTGCCACCCCTCACGAAGATCGTGGCTACCGAGGAGCTCTTTTGACCGACCGCCTCCAAGATGGCCCCAAGAGGCCCTCCAGAGCTTCCCAAAGGCCCCCAAGAGGGTTCCACGAGCGCCCCGAGAGGCCCTAAGAGGGCTCCAAGAGGCCCCCCGAGAGGCCCCCAAGAGGCCCCCAAATGGCCCACAAGCGGCCTCAGAGAGCCTAGGATGACCTCAAAGATGGCTCAAGATAGTCCAAGCTGGCTCAAGGTGGTCCCAAGATGCCCCAAGAGACCCCAAGACCGCTCCAAGCCTCCCAAGGATGCCGCCGAGATGCCCAAATCAATGAATCCCATCAGCCCTTTGGGCGACAGGTGATCTAACAAGGGTCTCTTTCCTCTTCCACTACCCCTCTTCCCTTCGGGGAGGGGAACCCTCCCCCTCCCCTCCCTGAGGTTGTTTTTTTGGAAGAATCGCGAAGTGTCGGAGGCTTCATTTTCGGCCATTGGGAGGGCCATTTTTTGTTACCCCTCACGAGGATCGTGGCCCCCGAAGGGGGACGCAAATCGAGTCCCCCCCCTCTTTTGACCGACCGCCTCCAAGATGGCCCCAAGAGGTCCCCAGGACCGCCAAGAGGCCCCCAACACGCAAGAGAGGCCCAAGAGAGCCCCAAGACGGCCCCAAGAGCGCCCAAGAGTGTCCCAAGAGCGCTCCACGAGGGACCCTTCATCTGCGTGCTGCCCACTTCCCTGAGCGAGGCAAATCCTCTGGGCATATTTTCTTGTTGGTGCGGCGCGCGAAGCGGGTCGAACGCCGGACGAACGGGGGCAGGCGAAGCGTCGAGACTTGTTATTCTTGTTCGCCGACGTCCGCATGATCAGTCCGGGCCTTCGTGCCCACAGCATCGCCGAGCGGGTCATTACATGCGGAGCGAGACGCCACGAAGTCATAAGCGGGCACCCTGGCCCGCGGGGCAAACAACATCCTCAACATCCCGGGCTCCCCTGCATCCTGTCGCAATGCGTTTTCAGGCCCGGGGGAGCCTCAAGACGGGCCGGGAGAGAGCCTCGAGTTGCCCCCCAAGACGGTCCAAGAATGCCCCGAGTCGCCGAGCGATCGCTCCAAGACGCTCAGAATGGCCCCCAGACGGCCCAAGAGGCCTCCGAGACGCCTTGAGAGGCCTCCAAGCGGCTTCCCAAGAGGGCCCCGAGAGGCCAAAATCATTAATTTCCCATCGGTGTTTGAAACATTTTGGCGTTCTCGCCGTTTCGGCTTCCCGACGCTCCCAGACAGCCCTAGAGGCCCCCAAGACCGCCCCAAGAGGCTTTCAAGATGGCCCCAAAACGGCTCAAGAGGGCCCAAGGCAGCCCAAAAGGTATCCACAACTGCCCAAGAGGGCACAAAGACGATCCCAAAAGAGCCCAAGAAAGGAAACACAAACCGAACATCCGAGCCTCCCGCCCCAAGAGGCCCCCAGGAGCCTCCAAGAGGCGCCCAGGAGGCCCCACGAGGTCACCAAGAGGCCCCAAGAGGCACAAAAGAGGCCCCGAAACGGCCCCCAAGAAGCCTCCAAACTGCATCCAAGAGGCCTCCCACGAAATCCCAACGAACATCCAATAGGCTTCATACCCACACTCTAAGCACAGTGGCCGGATGGGCCGAAAGCCATTAGATAATAGCCTCGACATCTTGATATATTTTGCTGGCTCCAATCCGTCCCCGCATGAGGTTCCCCGATCCCTTCAAGACGGCGCCCGGACACCCCGACACGGATCTGATATTCTCCACTCTTGTAGAGAGGGGGCCGGCGGCAGAGGGCGAAGACCTTGCGGACACTTCGCGTGTTGCTAGAAGTGTTCCTGGCCCAGGGTGCCCCCAGCTCTTCGCTCCCTTCTGGAGCCCCTGGGGTCCTCTGGGCCTCGTGATGGGGCGCCCTGGAGGCCGCCCGGGGCGCCCCCGGGAATCCCTGGTGGTGCCTTGGGCCAAAGGTACGGATGCTGGCTCGAGGATGACCCAAGATGGCCTCCAAGACGGTCAAGATAGCCCCTATGATGCCTCCAGCACAATCCAAATTGCACCAAAAACGGCCTAAGATGGCCTCAAGATGGCCCACGAAGGCCTGGGCAACACCCGCACATTCACTACGGAAGCGAAGCCGCCCGGGCCAGGGCAGAGGCCGCATGCGGAGCCCGAGCGGGACGAGCAGGGAGAGACCACCAGGCGCCTGGTGGGGCCTGCACGGGCCGTGGGGGCTCGGCAGGGCGGAGCGCAGGCGGCGCAGATCGACGCGGGGGCGGGCTGACCTTTAATCAGCTTGGCCCCTGTCGAGCGTCGAAGCCTCGGAATCGGACAGCAGACGTAATGTGGACAGAATGTATGCGCGCGTCGCCCCGAAACACTTCAAACGTTGCGTAAAAACCTTGAGCTACCATAAACATGCACGCGCACGCGAGACAATACAGAAAAACGGCGCGCAGGCCCGCGACGTTCAACGGGCCTGCGGCGTCAATTGGCGACCCTGGAGGGTGCATGCAGAAGGTTGCGTTGCTCGGGCACAGAGCCGGGAAGACAGATGGATGACAAGATGGGGTCACGCACATCTAATCTTCATATATCCATACTTGTAAACACATGTGTATGTATACGTGTGTATGCATGTGCATGTATGTATCTCTCTCTCTCTCTCTCTCTCTCTATATATATATATATATATATATATATATATATAAATAAATATGCGCTACGACCATCGTGGGCGGTTCGCGCGGGCTCGAATTCTAGCTAGCTTGGGCGCCAAAACACGGCGCGCAAGACGGGCCGTGTCAGGACACACCAAGAATGAAAGGCCTCGATGACGCATTCAGGTCAAGAGCGGGGCATTGGAAATGCTGTATAACCTCCGACAGACGCAGGGGGCGATATTTGGGGCTTATGGGGCTGCATGGTGCACTCCGAACACGGGAAAACGAGTATGCACACATGTTAAGAAGCTGTGCAGGGATCAATGGCGATTGCTTGTTGGGGCATCTTCGACATGTTCTCGTGCGCCCGTGGACCGTCTTGGGAAGCTCCTGGGCCGTCATGTGACAGTCCTCGGCCATCTTGAAGCCCTGCTGGGTCGTCTGGGGGTCATCTGTGGCCGCATTGGGCGAAACGCGCGCCTAGGTTATAGGAAACCGCAGCCATCGACAAACTCGTCGCTAAACGCACGTACCTACCTACCCATTGCTTGACATGACTTGGTAAAGGAATAGGGCGGACCGAAATGAGACGAAATACCGACATGAGTCATGAGTGCACCCATGGGCACTGCACAGCACAATCATGGAAAGCGAACTCAACGGCATTGCCTTTTAATGCAAAGCGACGCATGGCAAAAATGGTGAAACGTAGAGCAAGTCAATTGAAAACAATGCAATGCGGTTCAAAACAAGGCAAACCGTAGCAGGATCAGTCAAGGGAGCAGGAACTACACATCAGCCCACATTCATTTCAGAGCAACGCAAGAAAATGCGAACGTATTTCTAGGCATTGGAAGCCTCGTTTGGCCTCTTGAGGCCGCCCGGGGCCACTTGGAACCTGTTGGCCCTCATGGAGGCGTTCTAGGTGGTCCGACCGCCCCCCCGAGAATCTGTCGGGGCCGCTTGGGTGTGCTGTGTCGGCTCTCGTGGACCTTCTTGGGGATCTTCGTGTGCTCGCGGAAATCGCGGTATTCTATGGATGGAGAACTGGTAGTTTGAACAAATTGAGGGTCCAAGGCGATCAAAACCAGAAGTGGTATCGTAGATGTGTGCACGCAAACATTCCGATGGAATACATCGGCGCGGAATAACAACTTGAAGATACCCGGTGAACTTACATAATGCATCCAGTGCTTTCAGCCACCGTGTCCGGAAGCATGAGCTAAAGTGTCCACAAGTCCTCGGGCCCCCCGCCCGCAGGATTGATTCTTTAGGGGCTCGAACCTGAACTACTCAAATTTCTTCGGACGTCCCGCATGCCTCCCGGGGCTCGTCGCGTGTCCCCGCGTGTCGTCGCATATCTTTTCCGGGGCCAAGAGGCTCCGCAACGGGCGAGGATGGCCCAGAGAGGGCCCCAAAATGGTCAGAAAGAGCTTCGGGCTGCCAAACTATTGTTCCACGACGCTCAAAATGTTGTCGAAACGGCCCACGACGCCTCCAAGACGCCCTAAAAGGCCTCCCATGAAGGCTGTAAGAGCTTCGCGTTCTCACATGTTGGGAATCTAACGCTTCGAGACGGCCCCAGGACCCCCCAAGTCGCCCCCAGACGCCCCAAGATGCCCCCAAAAAGTCGCCAAGAAACAGGTCCCCAAGACGGCTCAAGAGGGCCCCAAGAGAGGCCCAGGAGAGAACCCATAGGGGGAGCACGACCTGCGATTTCGAAACCTCAGCTCCAAGATGACTCCCGCAAACGCCAGCGGGTCTCCCCGTCTCCGTCTCTTCGCATATAGGTATATGCATAGTTGTATGTATGTATATATGTATATATATATATATATATATATATATATATATATATAGAGAGGCACATGTATGTATGTATGTATGTATGTATGTATGTATGTATGTATGTATGTATGTATGTATGTATGTGTATATGTATGTATGTATGCATGTATGAGGAGGGGGAGGTGGAGGACGACGAAGCGGGGGAGGAGGAGGAGGAGGAGGAGGAGGGGGAGGAGGAAACGTGAAGCGTGAAGTCCCGTCTGATAGGCCCGCGAGGGGCGGGACAGCGTGTTATTGTACAAAACTGGCCTAATGAGCGCTCGCCCATGCTACGAAATCCGCAGATATCTCACGCCATGCCTCCCTGTCCTGCGCTCTCTCCATCCACTCTCCATGTCCCTCATCAGTACAAAATCTCCGCAATACGTATTCAAACTTCATCCATTGTCTTCGCGTGGGTCTTTCTGGGCGTAACCATCGCCCTCCTGCTGATGTCTGCCGAACGAAATCTCTCCATCTGGTGACAAGCAAAGCCCACTCATACGGGGGCATTCGAGCGACGTGCCCTGCCCATCTCCACTTCCTGCCAAAATGTTCCTGTACCCAATCCTTCACTCCGGCATTGTGCGACAGCCGTCTCGCTCGCCGGGTCGCTTGTTGCACCCAGTCTACCCAGTCTTCTCCCTCTGCCCTCCCGCTGTTCACAATCCTTCTCAGCATGGCATTTTGCGTTGAACGTAATCTCCTCAACTCTTCGACTCTCGGGGGCCAGGACTCCGCGCCCCACAGGACTGTTCTTGCCACGGAGTTGTGAAAAAACTTGAGACGTTTGTTTAAAGAGAAGACTTTCCTTGTCAATAACTTCCTCAACGCCCAAAATTTCGACCACCCAGTCGCGATGCGATTTGCTTTCTCGCTACCTGTCGTGTCCTGCACAGACAGATTTGTTCCCAAAAGCTCCAAACATGTTCCGTGAGGTAAAACTTCGATGGAGAACTCCCCTCTATCTGAACACGCCCTCTGTGGAAACTTCCCCTGTCGGCCTGCACTCGGCACTTCGCGGGATGCAGCGAAAGCCCTCTGCGACCCGACACATCCCTGAGCATGGAAAGCATTCGTCTCATAGATATCCAAGAACGCGAAATCAAAGTTTGATCATCCGCAAACGTTATGTGGATCAGCCTGTCTCCGCGCACCTCAAAACCGACATTCGTGCCATACCCTCTCCTCTTCCACACTGCATTTGCTTCCTTCAATGCTCCGTCCAAAATCAAATTAAAAAGCACAGGCGATAGTGGGCCTCCCTGCTTCGCACCCCTTTTGCACATCAAAGTTTCTGTTGTTGGCACCGGGCCACAAATACATAGACCCTTTCACATCAAAACGCAAACGCATGAGTGTCCCGATCACCTGTGCATCTATGTCATTGTTCAGAAGTGAATCAAAGAGCGAAGAGTGGTGCACTCTGTCGAAAGCCTTCTCAACATCTAGCGTGGCAACCCATAACTCCTCTCCCCATTCCAATGATTTCCCAACAACCGTCCTCAAAATGTGTGCTGCGTCTGCACATCCTCGCCCTGGTCTGAACCCAAATTGTTCCCTCCCCAAGCGTGCGTCGATGGGTGTCGCAATCCTGTTTTAGAAGACCGTGCTGAACAATTTCGCCATAACTGGCAATACTGCTATGGGCCTATAATTAATGGGCATCGCCGGGCCCCCTTTCTTGAAAAAGTACCCGGAACTTCATGCGTCTCCACTCGTCTGGCGGCAAGAACCTTCCTTGTAATATGTCTGTGGGAAAAACAATAATAATCTTCATTCGTCCGGGGTGGTCTGTCTTCAGCATGTCTGCCACCAGCCCATCATCAGCCCCTGTCTTGCCCGTCTTCAACTTTTTCAATGCTCTCCGTAACTCGTCCTCTGACGCAGCTGTCCCATGGGCCTCTTGTGGCAGAACGAGTTCCTTGCCCTCGCTCTCTTTGTGCAGATCCTCGTAAAATGCAGCAGACACTTCGCCTACTGAGTCCTGGTCAGAGCAAACATTACCGTTGGAATCCTTCATTTCCACGACGCGTGTCGCGCCATTCTGTCGCTCTTCAACCCTTTTCAACTGCGCCAAACCCATGCCCTTCATCGAAACTTCTTCAACCTCCTCCTCCTGTCTCTGTCTTCTCTCCTTTCTCAAAACTCCCCGCAAAGATTTCGACGGATCCCTCCTCTTCTCCGGATCTGATTTCGCCCGTCGTCTTTCAAACAAACTCTCCACATCGTCGCAATGTCGGCGTTTCCCGCCGCCCTGTCCAAGACTGTTTCCTGTCTCCCGCGCGGCCTTTACAATCATTGCCGTGGGATCCCGTGTCTCTCATTCTTCTCAATGCAAACATCCAGAGCGTCGTGAAAGTCTTTCGGTCGGCCGTCTTCATCTGAGCGGGGCTTCGAATTCATGAGCAGACGCGGTTTCCTCCTCTGTCGCTTCGGCTTCTCTAAGAAGACAGAATCCACAACGAACGCTCTGTGGTCAGACTTGCCTTCGAAATGGTGAAGAATCCCCCAGCGCTGAAAAGTTGAGCCTTGCATCTCATCGATAAGCAAATAATCAATGTGTCGCCTGTGCTCCACTGCCTGTGGGTCCACCGCTCATGCGTCGGATTTCCACCGAAAGTCGTGGTCGCTCTCAACCGTTCGCCGCGCAGTCACCTTGTAAACATGTCGCCGCGCTGACATATCTCACCGTGCCCCCACTCTCCAACAAATTCTGTGCTGTCCGACTCTAACCTCCGACCTATTACTGCATGTGCGTCCAAACCAACAATATTGATGACGCCCCCCCTCCGGCCCCGCTCCACAATTTCTCCTAAAACCATCAATGCCTCATCGTACTCATCATCAGGGCGCTCGCTGTGAGGAAGGTGCGCGCTAGCAAGTCTGATTTTGAACTGACCTATCGATGCGTCTAGGTATGCGACCCGTCTTCCCGCAGAGTGGAATGATAGAACCGTGTCCTCCCCCAGCCATCTTCTGTGCAACAAATTGTTATACTGCGATTCCACTCTTGGCATGCTCCAGAATACATTGCGTGACCCTCAGGCGTCACACAGTAAGTATCTGACTGTGCAAATGGACCC